TATATATATCATTATGATGGAATTGTATACAAACATGGGAGTTAGTTGTTGATATCTTGTGTAGGGATCGTCCATCCATAAATGCCATCCTGAAGAAACAATTTGTCTTCAAAAGAGTTATCAAGTTTCTGAGCCACGAGGTATTCTAATATATATTATATGATTAGTACAGTATTTTATTGCTCTATATAGATGTTATTAAACTATTTGTCAACTTTCTCTGACCCAGACGATGAAATACTGTTAATGATACCAGTGTTTGTAGAAGGAGAAAGAATAGTCTCGAATTTGTAAAAACGTATAAAAAGATTTTTTCTAGGTAACATTCACAGAAACCTTTATGTATCATAGTTTATACCTACATACGTTACTTACTTACAGAAAATATGCAATAAATCCAGAGTATTTGTCCGTGAGATGTAATTGCTATATTGTTGTAGCAACTGGAAGCTGAATTCAGTGGAGTCACCTTACCTGCATCACGGATGGATAGACCACTGGCACTGAAGCCTCCAAAAGGTAACCCTTCCAGGTGTGACGTACATATCATGAATCCGGGCTGCGACCATCTTTGTCTGTTGCCATGGTTACTTGACGACTCGCCTGCCGCTATTGGTTACTGATTGGTGTAGCCTTCTGCTGTTGTTTCCAGCGGCGAGAGTTTCGTCTGCCAGGTCGTCCTCGTCACAAATCAGTGATCCCGCAATGAAGTATGGCGTTTCCATAGCAACGAAGAAGTCTCGCAATCCGAGGTAAAGAGATGACACTTATGAAGACAAGATAAATGTTGAAACGCGATAACTTAATTGCTGAAGTATATTACTCGAGTTGGCCGTTTTTTTAATAATTGGATAATTAATATAAAGGATATGACTATGTCATTAGGCCTTCCTTACCGGTTTGAAGCAATTAAACCACAGCCGACATAGCTTAATTTCACTAATAGCATCATAAATGCTAATGAATCGTTTATTATAAATATTGCCTGTCTCATTAAGGACAGTCATTAATTAAGTAGTCATGATCGTAAATGTATTTTACTCTCAGAGGTTCCATTGGCGAAAGGAGAAAAGTGGAAGAGCAGAAGATGAAGGAGATGGTAAGAAGACTTCCTGTCTCGTGTTTCATACGTAAACAACCGAGAGCATTCAATAAAGTCAATCCACGCTGGTCAATATTTACTGATGAGTTCTTCGCCGGTGGTCACATTTGGTGATCGTTGACCACAGCCAGCAGCTGGTTGACATTTGCTGGTGCTCAGGTGTTATGTGTGGCAGAGTTGAACAGACATGTATCAGCGATACCATACATAGTATAATATGTAATAAGAGTAGAAAGGGGTGAGGTTTCTAGAGTTCCTGCTGTCGGTTGTAAGTATTTCAACGTTGCAGGATCTCGTTAATAGGAGACAGGAGATGATTAATAAAGAGCAGCAGAGGCGAGTGAAATCAAAGATGCAGGTAAGTCCACTTTTGAACTTTTGAACAGGTGAGTCCAACGGACTCCCTGCCCTCAAAAAGAGGGAGACCGCAGCAAAATAAGGGAGTCTGCAGTCTGAAGTTCAAAACTAAAGATATTAACAATAACGCATGTGCTTATTTTGAAGATTCATGCGGTTGCACATCTGCCAAATTGTCTTTGGACATTTGCTGAAAATATACGGCAATTCCGCGAGGCCGTTCTCTGGAACGAACTAGTTAGTATAGCAGAAATTTCAGGGAGTCACACGGACTTCTGCATATGTCAAATTAGGGAGTCAGACAGTAAATCAGGGAGTATTTAACTCCGGACTCGCGTTAATTACTAAGGTGTGTGTTATGTTTATACATGTGTACTCTCACTACTTGCTGTTTAATGGTTCCTAGTTTGATATCTATTGGTAGCAGCTACCTTATAATATATGTTTTTTGTATAGATGGCGCCAATGCAGAGAGCGAGAGATGAAGGTTGGAGGGTTATTCTGCAGGTTGGTTGTATTTTATGGAAATCTATCGTGGGATTGCCATATCAGATTCATCATGAAGGAGAAAAAGCTGTAGGAGTTGCCATGGATGGAGATAAATGAATAAAAAATGAACGCAATTAAGACGATATCAATAATTCGTGCACGTCATGCAGACGTACGTGATACGTTCTATTGTTTGTTGCAGCCGACGCCATTGCAGCCATCGCCAACGCCCTCCGGTGGCAATGTGGAGTGTGACGAGGGAGCACAGGGGAATTACCAGCAATACCATTCCTACCTGAGTGAGCTACAGGTGTGTACTGTGAGCAGAAGTTAATCAGTCACAGTCTGTCAGTCAGTTCTGCCAAACTGCTAAACTACACATATTACAATAAGTCAATTCTGCATTTCGAAATGCTTGTTGAATAGTTCGTCTACCAAGTACGCTGGTTTAGGATGGTCATAAAATGGTATGGAAACTTCACGGTACTTTCTTCTTTGCTACCAATTGAGTTTACAAACCATTTCTATATTCTACAGAAACACAGTGTCCACCTGAAAAAAGCTAAAAAAAATTACTTGAAAAGTTTTCCTTAGCACTTCTTTCTAATATATACTTCGTTCTATGTATAAAGTAAACAGCCAGCTACATATGGTACTACTCTGTGGCAGGCGTACACATGATAGAGACGCTTATGCTTGTGGTATGACCTCGCTACAAAATGCTCTTACTGGGCACAGTCGAAATGCAAAATTATGTATCACCGTTGTCCCTTTACATGTTATTACCTCCGCCAGGGGCTTGGCGGAGGTTATGTTTTCACCGGCGTGTGTTTGAGTGTTGGTTTGTGTTTTGTGAACACCCGTTGCAGCGTTTCGAAGTTCACTTCCGCTAGTGCGCTTGGGCTGTAGACTTACAAACACGAACCACAGCTAAGGGGCAACACAGTCCTCCCCCACCTGCAAGCGATCGCACTTAGATCCGGATCCAATTAATTATTTAATTAATTAATTAATTTAAGTGAACAAAAATATTTCATTGAAGTTGGATCTCGGAATTAGTGCCGAGCGTGCAGTGGGGGAGGACTGTGGTTTAATAAAAAATATTTCACATTCGAGAGGAATTCAGTCTGCCCTTTGGCGAGGTCTGGCTCTCCGAGTGCTCTGAGTGTTATGTTATATTCTCGTACTTGTCGGTGTCCACATGCAGCTGTGATATAGTGACAAGGTATAAGTACTTCTACAGTCGGGCGGTCAATTCGACGCTGTGTGTAAGCTACTCGTTGTGTTGCTCTCTTGTTGTGTGTAGGCGAACGTAGGCAGGAGAGCGCAGGGTCATGCTGGGCCGGCGAGGTCCGCAGCGAGAGAGCCGCAGCCTGTCATCCCGACGTACGAGCAACCGCGATGCTGCATGGTGCCCGACCACTAGGTGGCGCTGGATGGGTAAGGCAGCCGTGCCGACTGTTATCTTTCATCTGTTATAAAATTCTGGGCAAGCATTCGCCGATTCTTGAGCACGCAGAGATTCGCCCTCCTCCCCCTTCGCTCATGTCACAGAAAAAGACTCCTCCCTTTCTTCTTACATAGAAGACAATTCCCCCCTCCCCCTTCGCTCATGTCACAGAAAAAGACTCCTCCCTTTCTTCCTACATCGTTCATAGAACATGATTCCCCGTCCTTCACTCTTGTCACCTCTCTGTTTCTCTCTATCACAGGATGACGGGGGGTAGAGCAGCAGAGAGAGCCCAGCTTGTAGAGGACTTCCTCAGCCGCAAGAGGCAGGCCGCCGCCAACAAGGCGCGCCACGCCCTCGAACAGGGCCGGGCGCCGCCATCAGGTGGCGCCGCCGCGTGGCCCGTCCGCGACCCTGCCGCAGGTAATCAAGTTCGTCTGGCGATCGTAATCAAGTTTGTCTGCGCCGCGGCACGCGTCTCGTTAGCAACGACCTAATTATAAAACTACGACTGCGTCTGTTTTTAATTCGCCGCGTTAGCGTGGATTTGTGCAGCGACCCGTGGGGTCCTAATGAACCACACGCACCAGATGTGGCATTATGAGGTGCGCGTAATTCCAAAATTGGATTTGTTTGATTCGATTATCCGGTTTCTGCGGATGTAAATGGCAATCGCGTGTCGTGTGGAGGTCGACCTTAGTTGATAGTGCTGTGATTTATCGCTCCGCAGGGTGCGTGGCCGAGGTGGGAGTTGGCTTTCACCAGGCAGTGAGGAATCGGCAGGAGGAGGTGGGTACAGAAAGCCATTATGTAGTACCAGCAGACAGACTATAGCCTATAACTACTGCTGCTGCTACTGCTGCTGCTACTGCTGCTACTGCTGCTACTACTGCTACTGCTGCTACTGCTGCTGCTGCTACTGCTGCTACTGCTGCTACTACTGCTACTACTGCTGCTGCTGCTGCTGCTGCTGCTGTTGCTACTGCTGCTACTACTGCTGCTGCTACTGCTGCTGTTAATGTTGTTGCTGCTGCTGCTGCTGCTGCTGCTACTACTGCTACTTTGTTTTTCACTCACCTACCTCTCTCTCTCTCTCTCTTTCTCTCTCTCTCTCTTTCTCATTTTCGTGTCAGCTCTATCTGTCCCTCTCCCCCACCTTCTCTCTCTCTTCCTCGCATCTATTTTGACTCTCCTATCCATTTTTCCCTTCCAACGTCATCTCCTCTCCCCTCTCTCTCTTTCTCATTCCTCTGTCTCTATATCTCTCTGTTCCTCTCTCATCTTCTCATTCTCTCTCTCTCTCTCTCTCTTTCTCTCTCTCTCTCTTTCTCTCTCTCTCTCTT